AGAAGAGGAGAAGGAGGAACTCCTCTCTTTCTGAGAATCCCTTTTGTGTGACCCAGAAGTCGCTATTGTCCCTCTACAAGATTATAGAAGATTAACCCATCACTAAAAATTTGTAAAAAAAGCAGCCGCTTCGGTGGCTGGAACGACTAGGCCATCATCTCGACGTTAGCCTCGCTGTAGCTTTGCTCGTGCCGAGACGAACTACGTCATGATTGCGTTGGATGTCACATGCTCTCAGCTGGCTGTTCTCCGAGGACTTGCCAGAATGGGCCATTTATGACAAAAAATACAGCCACTAGGCTCAAAATACAAACGGGCGATTGTCATTTGCGAATGTTGTGGATTATATTCAACCTATTTTTGAACACGATGGGTATATTTCAAATTTCGTTGAAGTATCCCTTTAATAGTGGGCACTTGAACAGAGGGGGTGGGTTAAGTTGTTGGTGCTCCCGGTGTTGTGGGAGGCAGATTCCGCACCAATGGTCTGGAGCATGGTGGCAGGAACGTCGCTGAGTGACTGGTCGACTCACTGCTTGTAGAGAACTATGTGCATTTATTTACACTAGTGACAAGTCCCAACTTGGGAGACCATTCACCCTCGTCCAGAGTCTCGGCCCAAGTCCCCAGTCTCCCTAATTCGAATCCAGTCCCCCGAGAATCCTCTCGGCACTCCTTTCAGAGACTTGTAGAGGTTTCCTTTCCCCTCAGGGACCGACCAATCCCTTCAAATTCCACCACACCTACGTGGTACACTGTTACCCTATGGTCGGCGAACTGTCAGCCTGGCGCTCCAACCACCAAAACCAAATTCCTTCTAGAGTTGTTCCCTGCATTTTCCCCATTCTGGATGGCACCAACAGCTACATAATTACATCAGGCAAAAAGTGACAATTTGACACAAAGCGGCGAAACCCTCCATACACAGACACACTCCATTAAAAGCCACAAGCAGCTCCAAGCGCGGGCTCTCGCAGGGATATGTTTGAGCAGCCTCCCCAAACCTGAGACATTTCTTAAAGGGGCGGTGCAACGATTTTAAGATTAAAAGAATTTGCATCTCGTCATTTTTTTATTGTTTATCGTGTCCCGGAGAATACAGAAAACATCTCCTTCATTCAAAAATGTTGCGATTCTGCTGCATAATCGCAAAGTAAGCGTCCTCCGAGAGAGCACACAGGAAGCTCCACAGCACCTCGAATTACATTACTAGAAAGTGGACCAGGTGTGACCCTGAAGACTGGGAGTGAGTTGAGGGGTGCTAAAAATGCCACTATGTATTTATCTTTTTTTTATATAACAACTGGGACACGCAGGCGAAATTATTTTTCTGTTCTTTACTTTAGAAGTGTCAGAGGGCAACTTCCAGAGAGGTTTGACCGAAGTCCAGAAATCGTTGCACCAACCCCCCTTTAACGACCGCGGGGGAACCGCTCTTGCCTTGCTGCCGCTCTGCCCGTCAAATGCTTCCTCCAACACGCCATTATAAAAAAAGAGACAAAAATGCCAACGCAACTATAGAAAGATTAACTTTTCTACAAAAAAACACCTTAATTAATAAACATGACTTCTACATACACGTACTTAACTGGGTGTTTCTTCGGTATCTTACGGTACATTCGCCAACCGATCTTTCGGCCTCGGACGGAACCCCAAAATTGTCCGAATAATCAAGCGGTCCGAAACATCAATTTCAATTAAACTATTGAATTTCCGCGCATATTTCGCTGCATATTGGCCACATTCCACTTGCTTGATGTCAGTTTTAAGTTCTAGTGGAACTTCCGCTTTATATTGTTCCTTTTTCACTTGTTTGTTGATCTGTTTGATCACTGTGCTGCACTTTGTCGGCAGCTTCATTGGCACAAACAGCGAAGTTGAAGTTGGCGCCATTTTGCACTATTTGTAGACAATGTTTAGTCCACCAGGAATATTCTGATATTCTCAATAAATAAAAATAAATTATTTCATATACTCCAAGACGCTCGCCCGATCGCTAAGCGAAGTTGGGTTGACACACTTTTGTTAGCCAAGCAAATAAAAATGCAACAATTATAGTCATATCCGAATATTTTATTAGTGTTATATCAAACTACAATCGATGCGCACTAATACTACCATATACAACTACAAACGTTTCATGTTATTTTAAATTATGTATATTGAGTTGAAATAATAATGGCTCAGAAATTTATAAGAACCGAATCGGGGCTCCCGAATCAATGGTGACAAAATTCACAGGTGCGAGGTGAGTCGCCTTAGAGCTTATGCAAATAGTATCCAAGTCAAACCAACAAAAAATAAACTTGAAAATAATACAAGGAAACAAATATGCGACCAGTACTGGTATAATAAAACTCGCGTAAAAATGGCTGATAAAAAAAACTTGTAAACGACGGCAATCATTTAAAGAATACGACAGCTTACATTGCAGCCACAATTATTCGCTGCCTGTGTCTGTCTGTGGACGTGTTATATGCCGGATGTGGGTAACCGTAGCATGCGAACTGTGGTCGCTTCCATAAAACTAGTGTCACAATAGCAGCAACTCTCTTGCCAGGGATTCTGGGTTAATCCAGTGCGCGGTAACACCCAAAAAGCTCCTGAAATAGGTAATAAATTTAGGATCGTCATAATCATTAGGATAGCAATGATTGTATCAATGTTATGCGTCTCAGAAAGAAGACCGATTTGAATTTAGCATGGCAAGAACCAACTCGATAAGTTTACGATATACTGTAAACGACTTAATTTTCGCGAATTTCGCAAATCGTCTACAATTCACGAAAAATGGGTCCCGCGAACTATTCCGGTAATATATAAACACATTGGAATGTATATTGCGATCCCACCCCGTCGCGAAAATGAGAACCCGCGAATTATTCTAAAACTCAACCCTCTTGGACGCCTCGATTTCATAAATTACTTGTGCATGTTTCATCTGGAAGATATCGACGAGCCATTATTATTTTTTTATAACTGTAAGTATTATTGAAAGTGACAAGAAAGTTGCCTACCTGCAAATGTTTCTGCAAATTGGAGATTGCCTTTCTGTTTGTTGAAGATGTTTTCAGAGACGGTGCGCAGAGTTTGCACCTCACGATTATATTTTTCCCTTGCTGCTAATCTATTCAAAGAATTTTTCGTAAGAACACCACGGCAGCCTTTCTGTTTCCATTGTAGATGAGTCTGTTGCAGGTTCTCAATGCAAAGCAACACTGCACGCCTCGGGACGGTTACGCAGGCCAGGACGAGAGGACGTGTGGAGGTTCACGATAGAGGTGTAAAAACAAAGTGCAAGCCACGCACGTGCGTGAGAAGCCCTCTATAAAAAAAAGAAAGGTTTCAACGAAAAACAAATGTAACAAACAAGCTCCCTACAGTCTAAAGCCGCGGTTCGTAATGTTTCGGAATCTCGTCCAATCAGGTTGAGAAACGGTTGAAAGAGTTAGGGGTTAGAGCAAACACTAAATAATTAAAATTTATACAAAAGCGTAGACGAGGATTGGGAGAGGGAAGAGCAATGTAGTAACAACGGTTGGAAGTAAGGCGGGGTAAATTGTGTTAACGAGATCTACTGCTTCTTCGCCTCTATCTTAAGCACGACTTACTGTTAGTGGTACCAACAGACAAGATAGAGGAGAGGGACGTGAAAAACTCATAAAGAAAAGAGAATTTCATGGACAATAAAAATCCCCACCCTTGACTGAAATATGTAAGTGAATATGCTAGCGGCGAACTCATGTAAGGAGAACCTCGAACCTCCCCGCCTCTACCGGATGATGTGATCGGAGCCCAACCAGCTGGACTTCGACCCCCGATGCCCCCGGATGGGGATGAGAAATAAGAAAGACCCCTCGAAACACGAGCAACAGGAAGCGAACGAGACAAAGAGACAGATTCAACTATGACAGCAACGAAAACGGACGCGAATGTAGCCCTCATTCATCAAATTATTTCTTAAATTTTTGATGAAATCGTTTTACAGTCTACAAAACCCTTCATTCCGTTCTATCCCAGGATCTCTTTCCCATTCCTCCTTTCCCTCCTTTTGAGCAGGTTGGGGTACACTCCCCCTGTCGCTTTGGCTGTACTGTAGCCTCCGTGGTCAGGGGGGAAAGCGCCGGCCCCGCAAAATCTTGCGAAAGTAATTATAATTGTGCCTGGAATTTTGCAATTACTGATGCTAGAAAGTAATTAAATTTCAATTCCTTTTAGCCAAGGGTAATTAATTACAAATTATCAGCAAAAGTAATGAAATTACAGTAATTCAATTACTGTAATTCTATTATTACCGAAGTGTTGAATAGCAGATAACTGTTTGTTCAGCCAGTGTTTAGCTTTCACAATACAGCGAAGTGGAAGCAGGTACAAGGTCCCGTCGGTGGCCTTTTTCTGTTTGCGGAGCGGGCATGCAAACAGACTTCCCCGAGCATTTTTGATCTCGTGTGACAATTACAAAGAAAGAAAAGCACAGATTGGTTTTTGGGGACACAAGGTGGAGGGGGGCATAAAGGACCTATGCACCCCGGTCCCCACGAACCCCACACTAGAGCTTTATAAGCCATTAGTCTACTGCTCTTTCGTTTTCCAAATAGTCGAGCCTGTTGCCTCTGTAGAGACAGTCGAATCCTCTCCCCTGGTTGAGCCTTTGAATGAGCCCAGAAGCAAGCTAAGGGCTGTCATGCTTTCAATGAATTCCTTCCCTTTTGCTCGCTAGCAGACCTCTTCTTGAAGCCACCTGTATCACCCTCTTCCACTCTACCTCTTTCTTTGATGGGACAGAAGAAGCCCAGCAAGTATTAGTCAGTAATTTGTTACTGAGAAACTAATGGAATTATATTTTGCACTAAATTTTTAGGAAAGTAGTAGGTTAATTACTAAATTACAAAAAAAGGTGATAGATAGCAAGTAGTTTTTAAACAGATTACTCTCAAGTCTGCTGTCGTGCTTGTTGCATGAACGCTACATCAGCTCACTTTTCCCGTTTATCATTCCAGAGCTGTGGACGAGTGACGATCTGCTTCTAAGGACCCCCAGAACTTCTCCAAAGACTTGTGTCCTGCTCCTAAGCCTCATCATTGCTGCACGGCCCCCATTGCAGTCATCCATCCGTGCCCCACGCCACCAGGACCCTGGATTGAAAAACGTCATGCCGATGCCAGTGATTGTCAAACATTTCTCGCATAAAATCGTCACCCTCACAGGCGTGTAGTTAAAATGCCCAGATATTAAAAGTACCTACGATGTTGCTCTGCGTGCACTTGAGTTGACCCTTTCACAGATTCTGATCTTGACCGCTGAAAGGAACTTTGGCCTTTCTAGACTTATATAACTTTTTTTTTTTTTAGTGGAACATTATATCTCAGTTTTATTGGCTTCTGGAGAGTGTTGAGTTACCTAAACTAAGAAATTACCATCTCTCGGGCTGTAGACGACTGTGTGAGCAGAAGCGCTAAATGCCAGTCGAAACCCGACACTCAATACAAAACATGTGTTGAAAAGTGTAAAATGTTCTTTTGGCCGCCTCTGACATCACTTACACTTTACGTTTTTCGGTGACTGGATTCAGAGTTCAATGTTTTCAGCTTTTAAGGTTTTGTATTGCAACATAAGCTCCCGCATTAAAGGAGCTGTGCAACAATTTTTGTACTGTGCACAAATACCGCTTAAAACGGATCCCTAACGTTAATGACCTATGAAACACGCGTTCGTTTTTCACCCCACGCAATAGAAGTCCCAGTAAACAATTTAAGGAAAACGAGCAGCGTTCACCCCCTCAACTCGCAGCCAGAACAAGTGGCCACGTGATCTGGAGCCGATTATATGCCGCCAGTGTTGACCATAGCCACGCGCTGGGGTTGGCAAAGCGCAGGACACGCGCTGAGTTCCAGACATTGTTATGGCTCGGCTGTTGTCGTCGTTGCAGCGACTGGACACGGGTCACAACCCGAATGCTTCTCGAGCTAGCAATTGTCACGAGCCCAAGTCGAGTGCCCACGCAATGCTCGGGTCCAATCTATGAACAGCATTCAAATATCGTCACTTGGGTGTACTCTGATCCCCGAGTTACGTCATCAAATTTTGCAAAGGAGAGATTGAATGAAAATGATCGCTTTTGTCCTTGAAATTACACCACAACAAAGGAGTTGCTTGGCCAGTGGCGTTGCGTGTGAGTATCCTTGAATCCCAGGTGTGCCAGTAAGCTCGTGTAGAGAGAAAAACATTCGAATTGAATATCGTTGCACAGCTCCTTTAAAGATGCGGCCAGTCAGTGAAAGCAACGGTAGAACCTCTCCAGCCTTACTGAGAAACGGTGCTTTGCAAGGTGGTCAGTGCCGGGCAACCTTTTCTCATCTTTACCATGGCAATCCTTTCCCCCCGCCACCTTGTGTGCCCATGTTCCGGAAGACGCTCAGATTTTTAAGGTATCCATCAAATCCAAAATGTAAAATTTGGCTTTGTATTTGCCTCGAGATCGAACTAAAGGTGGCGCTACTGTCGCGTTATTATCATCATCAATGTGTGGATAGGAAGATGGTTGCCCCATAGGCTATTTGCGGTCACAGCCAAGAACCTGCAGAATATTGCGTTTATTGCCTCGCACTGTATCGTTGTGAAAGCAATTTCAACAGAAAATGGTCCCGTACTGTTCACTGCCTCATTGCAGTACGTATTGCACCGAGGGTTGGGGTCAGTTTTTACCGATATCCAGCTGCTGGTGCGCTGAAGAAAGAGTGGCTCTCAAAATTGAGATCTGATTCGCGCGATGGTTTGCTCTAAACATTTCACCGCCGAAGATTTCAAACCAACGATGCATGACAACCGAGGTAAGTGGAAAATTAAAACATTTTACATAAGTGTCACGAGTGGCCCAAAGTATGGAGCAAACTTTCGTTAATTCCACCTTGACGGGAACTTGAAATTTGGAGGAATTATCCGAAGGATTGAATTAAAAAAAAGGACAGAAAAACGGTTAAAATTAAACTTCCTTTTATTGTGCGAAGTACTCGTGGATCGTCTGTTGTTTGTGCTTAAAACGCGTGTCCAAAAGCATGCTTCGGAGAGCAGCGTAACTAAACGTGACGTCCCCCAAAAAATGCGTACTACGAAAAAAAAAAGAAAAAAGAAGCTTTACGAGCCGACTTTGGCGTCGGGCAGCCAGACCGTCGAAGACAAAGAAAAATAACAAGAAAAAGAACCCGCGCTACCGGCGCGCAAGATGAACCCCGCACGATGTTGCAGAAAGGCGCTGCGAGAGCGCGCGCTGTCTCCGCGCCCGACCACATCCTATGTGCTATGTGCTCCACGCCAGATTGATTGCGCTGGCTGGTGTCATTCGCTACGGTTCATTTCAACGGCGTAGAGGAGCAGGTGCATATTTGCACACGTTTGGCTCTGCAGCAAAGGGCCCGTATTTGGCCGTACATTGGTAGTTTTTCCGCCATGGTGCCGTGCATCGTGTGCCCGTGCGCATTCGCTCGGAATGAATAGACTACTTCCATAAACCCCTGCATGCAACACTGCGTGCGTTGCACACTGGGAACTATTTGGCCGGGGAGGAGAGTGGCTTGGTTTCGGTTTCGATCGACACGTCGACAAGAGATTATACACAGAGCGTATCTCACGTTTTCTGGTCCCGAGAGCTTCATTTGTGGTCTCAAAACTAACCTAAATGGCCAGACCTCGAAGATTTAGCACAAGCCCGAGACGTATTCGCGACTCCAGCAAAACGGACGCCACCAAGCGGGAAAACCGGGAACCAGCCGGTCCAGGTCGCTCCGCGCCCCTCCGCGTCTCTGGTGGCTTTCGCGGACACGTGTTGTCGGCGCGGTGGCGAACAATGTAATTTGACAAAGGTCCGGAAATTTCTTAAATTTGCCTAAGTGTTCATTAGTGTGGTGAAGCCTCAGTAGATCCTTCCATCGCGTGCTTGAAAGCCCGTTTACTCCACAACACACGGTCGCGTGCTTTCGATTTCTTGGATGGGGAGGAATCACGGACAAACGTTTTGATTTCTTGTCTATCTCGAATCACATTCAAAGTGACGACTGCTTGGTAACTGATGAGTGGTTTCTTTATAAGGATGTAAAACAGTGGACTGAGGACAACAGACGAGGCATTTCACTAGAGGGAACTCCAATGTTGCAGTCAAGTGAATGGGAACGTTCGATAGCTGCTTTTCCTGAGTTTGGTTGTGTTCAGTTAGCTTCAAGTTTGAGCCACCCACGCCGGTCGGTGCGTTGGCTATTTATCTTGCCTGCTTTTCGCCGAAAAAGTCTCTGAACCACACTGAAGGAGTTGGGCTGATTTCGCAATTACTTGATTCAGGAAAACCTGCTCGCTGCAAATGATGAATGAGGGAAATTTTCTGTTTTCAAAAGGTGGGGAACGAGTCTCGCAACGTTAGAAGCTGTCACGACATTTTGATCTATCGCGCCTCCAATATTTATATTATAACCCCCGTCGGAACCAGCAGCAATATACGTCCACGTTGCTCAGGTTGACCGGCCACAAAAAATACTAATTTTCTCCGTTCAGGATTCGAAGCAAAGTTCAATGCAGAGAGGTTCTGCGTGAATCTCCGATGAAGACTCTCTTCAGTTTGTCTCCGTGCTGCTGGCTATAGAACCATTTGGCTCAGTTTAAGTAGTATCTCTCTGTCTGTCAAATATACTTTCATTCAGCAGTTCACTTAATAGCTAGTCAATTAAGCTCATATTTCAAACCAAAGAATATACTAATATCGCTTTAGTGGGACATAGCACGTAATGTAATACAGAACCCGCTCGTCAAAATGACTTCTCGATTGCTACTAAAACCTGAATTGAAATGCGAGTATCAGCTGCTTAGTGGGGCGCCGGCGGGTTAACATGGTCCTTGGTTCAAGAAGCGCTTGCTTAATTTTCGTAATTTTCGTGCAGCCTGTGTTGTTCACCGAGCAGACGGCACAAAAGTTCGATTTCGCGGACAGATAAGTCGCATGGTCGAGGGGTTAGCTGAAACTTACTCCCGGTAGAACGATTCTGTAGTCATCGCCGTTTCCCTTAGATGATCAAAGCTGATGACTATATTACCGTCTCTCCGGGGCCCATAGTTTCGGTTTTGAACGAAATCTCTGCAACAAAAGTTTGACATGGAAAGAAAAAAAAAAAAAAAAAAAAAAAAACACCGGGAAAACAGAACTACGTTTTGCAAGTTTATGCGCACCGGCTACACTTAACCGTCTCAGTTCAAATACCTGTAAAATTGGGCATTAAACAAAAGAATATCAGTTAAATTGAACGCGCCACCTGTTCAAGCGGCCCGGCCGAGCTGACGCGACCTGGACTCAGCCGCCATGTTTGTTTGGTGGTGGCGCCCCCTATAGGTCGCTGGAGTCGCGAATAGCCTGTCTTAGCAAGTTAACACAAGCTTGTATTTTTGTACTCAAGCCTTTCTGTTAGCATTTCGAGACATGTGAACGAGCCAGTGCTGGGAATCTTGACGCTGCGAAGCTCGCGGATCTTGCTTGTGTACGAGTCAACAAGCTGTAACAACCTATAGACCATTTCATCCTCCCCTGCATGGGCGCTGCCATCTTGGAATCACGTGACGCGGCAGCCATTAGGTTGCTTCGACTTGCTGCTCCGCTCTCCCCTCCGCGCCTTGGCGGATGCGTTGTATTCGTGTTTTTCGTAGCGTTTCACCGCGCTTTTTTTTTTTTTTTGCCTTACTTCGAAAACTGTAGTCCGATACGTCTCCTCGACGACTAAGACATCACAAGGGTTGAAAGGTCCTTATGACAACTGAGGTTTATTTACTAATAGTGGCGGAACATTCTCAGTAAGAAGCGCGTATATTTATATCGCGCATCTAGGATCGGAAAGCGTCAAGAATAGTCAGCGCAAGGAGACTTTTTGTATTTCCTGAAAGTATCGTTCTTTGTGTTCATAATATATCGAAAACAGTTTTTTTTTTTTTTTTGTTATGGGAGGAAACGCGCGGAGGGGATAGACAACGAACGAATAGCTTGTATTTTATCTGAGGCTAGAAGTAATGGTACGTCAACATCAGGAGATCTGTTTGTTCATAACATCACACCTACATGTGTATGAGGTTCCCAATCTTTTTTGCTACGTAAACATTGGGTTGGTCGGTTACTTATAAACTTTAAGAAATTGTATACCATGCTCGCTCCCACTTCGACAGTTTAAGTGATTTATTGGTTATATTCAGATAACCAGTGCCATCCACTTTGTTTATTTTAAC